TATATATATATATAATACAACTGGCGGAAGATATATGCAGAAGATTAAATCCCCGGATAAAGGCAACCTCACTTTCTCAGTAAGGTAGCTAGCCAAGCCTTGGAAAGAGTTACATCAAGCTTGAGATTTAAAGGGATTGGATAGATTTTGAATGAGTGCTTCCGTTATTTAAACACACATGTTATATCAAATTCATTTCAAGTTGATGCGACTACATTTGATAGCAAATACTAAGATTTTATCAGTATAGCATAATAGTTAAAACATCAATTTTTGTTTTGAATATTCAGAGATTTGAACTAAAGATATAAACATTACGTTATGTCATGCACATATATGTTAGCCAGATGTGCATAGTCATTTGAAATATGAGTCAATCTTACTTGACAATTTTGTTTAGTCTAAGTATTGCTTGAAGTTTCACCTCAACAGAAATTCATGTTATTTTTTTGTTGTTTCTCTTTTTACAGTGAGTTGAGGAAGGAGGTGGTGGTTATGGAGTAACGCAAATGTTATCTCTTGAACTTTGATATTTCTACTGGCAGTTCAAAGGCATATACGACAGAAAGTTTGTATTCCATAATTTAACATCTAAAAGCATCAGCATAATGTTAATGCTATTTTGTATGATTATCTGATCTCAACTTAACGATCGTCTTTCTTTCCTTGTCAGGATTTTGGTGACAATTAGCTATTCTAGCTCATTGATTATCTGATCTCAACTTAACGATTGTGTATGCACTGTATTGGTTGTTCACTGGAAGAGTGGCCAATAATTGCTCAAATTCCCATTGTATAGGTAGATAATGCACTAATATATATATATATATATATATATATATATATATATATATAGCATGCAAGATCATTGGTAGTATTATCAAGGTAAGTGATTCTCCAAATAAATATTGTTATTTATTTATTAAAACTTCTTTTTCTTTTTCATTAATTTTTTAAATTCTTTTAGACTGTTGTGCATCATTTATTTATGTCGTGAAAGTTTCGTCCCTCTGTTTCCCTATTTCTAATCTCCAATTCTCCAGTCACTTCCTGTACAACATGAATGGTTATCTCCTCTACTTCTTCTACTTCTTTTTCTGTTTTGCTTTTCTATCTTTGCTTTTGCCTTCAATTCTCGTTTGGACATGAAAAACACATACTATGGCTTATTTACATGAAGTTAAACACATATAAGCTCTCTCCTCGTAATATAATACCTCTAGGATTTAATGTAAAAGAAAAAGGGAAAAATGAAAATCTTAGGCATGATGACATTTAGCTTAATATTGTTTTCATTAGATTATTATCATTTGAATAACTTTTGTATACTTCTTTATTTTTTTGGCTATGATTTTGGCATCGATATGAAGATTGCCTGATCAGATGTTGTTGCTTCACATGGGAAAGAAAAGCTGGGCAGAGAGTTGTCAAGGTTCAGTCTTAATTATGTGAAATGCCCCTCTCAACGTCACGGACACATGGTGAACGCGTGTTTGTGTACTTCAGTAATTACATTGAAAATATATTGAACAAAGACAAATATATGTTTTTAAATATCTAGCATTTAATTCCTTGAGTATAGCTCATCCAATAGAAAAGTGTTCAATTCTTTGTTTGTTTATGCATATATAAAACCAAGAGTAGAAATTAAAAACCTGGCCAAACTGTAATGTATTTGTAATTGTTGTAGTCAATACACACTTGGTGAATTGACCAAATTTGGTACATATCCTCGCCCATACTCAGATCGTGTCGGATCGTTGTAAAGTGGTGGCCATCTCTTTACCATCATCTGCCTTGGGACACAAGGAGGGCTGCACTTCTCCATCACTTCAGTATGTTTGCGCAAAGGCGAGACTGGCTCAGCATTTGGATTGCTGGTCACCTCATCTGGTATGCCTCCTAAAGTTCTATACTCTTATTAACATAAGCTATTTTGTCAGTAAACTCGTCTGTAATATCCTTTCTATGTACGTCTCCTTGTTTGTTTACTAGTTGTTTTCTATTTACTCGTTAGACTTGACAGCATAACAAAGAAAGAGCCATCACTTATAAGTTCTTTTGTTTCAGTTGATGCATATTAACTGTTCAAAATATGATGCAGAATAACTTGGTAATTTATTTTACGGAAAGAGCCTAAAAATGCCACTCAACTTTCAGAAATGGTCTATCCATACCATCCGTTAAAAAAATGCTCATTTCAGCCACTGCCGTTAAAGAAATGGCCCATCCATGCCATTATTGACTAACAACAGTGGTATGGATGGGCCAAATAAAAATTGAGTCATTAATCAATAATGGCATGGATGAGCCATTTCTTTAACGACAGTGGCATGGAAATAACATTTTTTTAACGGATGGCATGGATAAACCATTTCTGAAAGTTGAGTGGCATTTTTAGGCTTTTTCCGTTTATTTTATGGATTTCCTCCTTTACTTTTCAAGTAGCTCGATTAGGCCGTTGATACATTGTCATTGTTGCAGTTGTTCAATCTTCTGTTCGTTGTTCTTAAACTCAAGTCAATTCATGGAATCACAAGAAAGAGCATAAATGGTCAGAAACATGCAATCTCTATTTCACAATCAGGTACTTTTTCAAATTCAGTTCTTTTTCATCACGAATTGCTTTGTTCAGAACGGACGTATCATGATGTCGTTGAAACAATGCTAGATCTTGAATAATTGAGAAGACTTCAGTTGTTGATTAATCGTTAAACCAAGTTGTTACACCTAAGTTTTAATGATGACAATTGTGCAAATCTAATCTACTCTAATTGATTGCAGGAAATCAGGGAGGCAATGCTATCAAAAGGAAATAAGATCAAACGCAGCTGATATGGGAAAGTCAGTTCGTAAATTAAGGAGAGTCTATGGAGAAAGAGATCAGAAAATTTTGATGATGGATCAATCAAGCCGTGTCGCAAATCACTCCTATATATCAGGAACGCAAGAAGGAAAGAAGATCATTGAATTCAGCCTTCCTCGTGAGCTGGATTCAGAGGCAACCCTTAGGTCAAATCTCTTTGAATAATTTTGCCTCAATCAATGGTCAATCTACAGCGGCTAGTTCAAGAGAAGATTTCAAGACCTCAAGTCATTCCTATAAGAAGGCTGGAAGACAGAAGAAAAGGTTACACAACTTAGTACATGTTTCTATACTTTTCTAGTTCTTCGTACAAACACTGTATTCTTGAATTTATAAGTGTCATAAAAGATAGCAAGAGTTAGAAAATAAAATAAGAGTTGTATCAAGCATAGACGAACACTGTTGCTGAATATCGTTAGTGGTGAACGAACAAAAACCACAACTGTTGTAACTACTCAATATTGAAGATCAAAGAAAACCCTTGTAACCCAAGAAAACTGGATGTAGGTACCATACACAATTGGGACAAAGGGAAGATTCTTGTGTACTGTGGCAAAGGGAAGTCAAAGCGAACTTGCCATGGAGGTGGTGAAACTGTCGCCATTGTCTTCTTTTCCTTTTATCACACCATTATTTTCAACTATAAAACCAGACTCTTTTGAGTAAGAGTAAGATTTTATCCAATTTCATTTCTATTGGTTTTAATTTGTCTAAAGAAGTGAAACGTGTTGAGTTCTCAGACTTTTGCATGGTTGTGACGTAACACGTATGATATAGTTATACACAATCGTTACTACTATCGACACGTTTTGAAGAAGATTATGGTTCACTATTTTGCTTTTCCTTATTTTCTCCTTTGTACATATATAGTGTTTTTGATGACTTTAATTTAATATCGTGCGTTTATATTTCGAGAAAACAATATTCAACATGCTAATAATGTGCTTGGAGTGGTTAGAACATTAAGATACTTGCGTTATTGACGTGAATTAATATGTGCATTTTTTTACCAGATGTATTATAAATGAAATTAAGTAGAATAATGTCAAAAAGTCAGACATTCAATTTTGCATCAAATTGAAGTCAAGTATATTACATCCACTAAATCTAACATATTTGTCGTTTCAATGTGAGCGAACTAGTTAATCAATACTTTCATCGGACTTTTAATTTTAAAAATTTCAACCAAAATATATAATCATCTTTAATATATATATATATATATATATATACTTATTGAGGGAGCGCTTACCTCCGAGTGGGGTCCTATACAACGTGAATCAGGATATAGTCGGACTTCAATACGGGTAACGGAGACCAGGTGAGAAACAAAAAGAAATTCACTACAATGAGTTGTGGAAAAGTAAATGAAACAAAAGGAACCCCTAACATATACCCTATAGAAATTTATCATTTTAGGCTCTTTCATTTTTCAGTCCCTTTCTACACTCTCAAGTAGCTTTCCTCTCTTGCCTCTATTATTCAGCCTATAGTCAAGAACCAAGACTCCTTTACAAAGTCTTTGTCTTTTTTGTTGGGTAAAAAGTCATACTTTTAATTGAAAAGAGAAACATGGATAGAACCTAACTTTGTTTCAGATAATAGTGTTTGCCTTTTCTCTTCCGTGACAATTCCCAATTGATTTTGTCGCAACCTGTAGAAGAAAAAAGAAAAAGAGAACCTCAAAATGAAAACAATATTTTATTGTATCTTTGGGGTTAAGGATAAAATTTTAAGTGCAACTATCTAGGGTTCAATTTTAATTATTGAGAACGTACATAAATGAAGGCATGTAGTCTTCATAACTAAATATATATGAAGCTAATGATAAATATATTTATCAATTTATTATCTATTTGATTTTTATCTCTTTTCTTTTCTTCGTTATGAAATGATAATAATTGGTGAATCTAGTAGATTATTTTCATTTCATTAGTTGGGGAGGTGTACATAAACCCACACACACTCCATTATGAAGTCTTCATCTTTGGTTTTTTCTCTTAATAATTGACAGGACATTATGAAGTCTTTCTACAAAGTCTTCTTTGTCGTTTAATCAAAGAACTATGGTGCAATTTTTTTCACGCACCATTGACTTGTTTCTATTCATTCAAACCCCTATTTTGGGGCAGAAGAACTTTACTTGATCGCCTCACACTTTTGATGCACTAAACCTTAGTTTGCTTAGCTTTCTCTTTCACCAATAAGTCCTTTAATGTTATTTTATGAAGTTAATGGCGTTTTCTTTTTATCTCTTTTCTTTTCTTTATTTGAAAGCTTGTGTTTGATTTGATGAAAGAATTTTTTGATTGGAAATTGGTTGGGGAATATAAAAGACTTAAGAGACTAGTAAAAAAAAAAATAACTTTTGTCTATAAGTGAGGGTAGTTATCTTTCCCCAATTGATGAAAAATATTTCCCTGCAAATATTTTTCTCGTTGAAAATAATATTGTAAGTAATTATTGTAGTCAAACCAAACATGCTCTTGTGGATCTAGCCGGGTGGCTTTCACTTCATCAATAGGGGAGGTGTACATGTGGACCCAAACATGACCATGATAAAGTTGTGGATACAATTTGCTGGATTTTTCTTGACTTTGAAAAATATTACTCCCCCGTTCCTTTTTCGTGGGTTCCAAAAAGAATGATCTCTTTCTAAGTTTGAAAAAGCATTTTAACTTAAACTTTCAACTCTATCCTTAATGAGAAGTTTTATATGCTTGTTTCTTTAGGTTGTCCAATGCTTTCTATACATTGCAAATAATCAGTAATTAATGACACATATCAAAATCTTATGATCCACTTCCTAGTTTTCTGGTATTTGCATAAGTAAAAAAAGTTGACCGCCATATTTGAATGTTTAATTTTCTAAGCTATCAGATCAATAAATATTTCCACAAGAGGCAAGGTCTAATTTCTTTGATGAAAGTGAAGGATGAGTGTGATGGCATGAAGTTATGAGAGGGAAGTGCAACTTGTACTATTCATTGGCTTTGCAACTTTGAAAGTTTGAATATATTCTGCCTAGTTTTCCCCTTAAAGAGGACTCCAGCAAGTCTTCTCCACTTGATGTTTGGGGCCATGTAACAACTCTGTTGCGGCGTGCAACCCGATCCCACAATATAATTATTTTCATTTTTGTTGCGGCGTGCAACCCGTTCCCACAATATAACTATTATAATGTTAAATATCAAATAGCAATTATAACACATAAGTCAAATAAGAATGTAGCAATTAAAGCTTGAATTCAAGACATAATACTAAGCAATGAAGATAAGAGAAACAATTAATATAAGAATTAAGTCATGAAATAAAACCATTTATGAAATACGGATAAACAAGAATACAAGCAATTTGACGACGTATAGACACTCATCACCTCGCCTATATGTCGTTATGCATCGAATTCACAGAGCACATAGTTCAAGGGTTCAATTCCCTTAAGTCAAGGTTAACCACGACACTTACCTTGCTTCGCAATTCATGTGCAAATTATATCGGTTAAAATTCATAGAAAACCTTATGTATTAATTTGAAATGGTTGGCACTTAGTAAATCATTGATTTATCATGCCTCATTCTTTGTTTGTCCAGTTTGTATTTATATGATAATTTGGTGTGATTGCCACTTGAATTTTTATGAGAACTCCTTGTATTTGTTGATTTGACATTTCCTGGAAATAATTATATTATGGATTTTTCCATCTGCAAATAATTAATTAAATAAGTTTAAATCAAAGCATTAATATATTTATCTAAAATTTCGGTTAAAGAAGGCGTTATCTTATGCTAAGCTATTTTTCCATCCTTGTTGTTGTTTTTGAGGTTTTATATACATTATTTTTTGCATTTATGTCTTTGGTTTCTTGACTAAGCCTGGGGTGGTGGATGTTAAACTTAACATCTACCAAACGAGAATTATCATCTATAAAATTGTTTTGTGGCAAATTAAGAATAACTTTTCTTTTTTCTTGATCTGTTTTGTTAGGAATTTGACAACAGTATGATCAATCGCTTTGATCTATTTTGAGAATGATGGGATAATAATACACTTCCATTTTTAAGTCTAACAACTGAAAAATCTAAGGTATTTAACAGACCTTTTCCAATATGATCTTCACAAAATAGTTTTTGGATGGCTCAAGCAGGGGATCCAGATATCTTGATCGACTTCATTGTTCCTCGAAACCGGACTGGAGACACATCAGATGGGAATTTCTTCACCTTTACAGGCATGCGCGGAATTTTTGGCAGTGTTATTACAAGCTTTAAGGCAACAAAAGCTAACAAGGCGGAATTTCCAGCTTCGGATGGCCAGAGTACTTCACTTGCTGTCCTCTATACTCAGACTATAAAAGTTGATGACTTGTTTGTGTTTCCTACTGATTAGAGTAAATCAGCTTCAGCTGTTTCTGCATTTGCTAACACGAATGCAGGAACCGTTTTACTTCCAACAACTTTGTTTGCTACTGGTGTCGATGATCAGATTCTTGTTAAGTCTTTGAAGGCTGATCCTATCAATTCATTCGTCTCATTCAAAGTTTCTTGCTAATGGTGTTGAAGCTGATCATAACTGAACATATTATTGACTTTTCATCCTTATAACTATTTGATATAACCATCCATCATATTGTTGGGAAAAATAGACCCCATAAAAATAATATTCAAGGTATTAGTGATAAACGCGGAACATTAAGTTATGGTTAAATCAGCAACAATAGAAATGCAGCAATAGTGACACCAAAATTCTACGTGGAAACCCTTCTGAATAAGGGAAAAAATACGGCCAAGAAGAGCAACTAATATCACTATAGCGAGAAATTTTACACTGTGTATTAACGAGTAAAAATACTCCTAAGACCACTACACCCTCAGAAGAAGTAAACACTCTTTTGCTTTTTCCACCTCACTACAATATCTCTCACACTCTATTTTTCTTCACAAACTATTTTCTTATAGTTTATGAAATTTCTTGCTCTCTCTCTCTTCTCTCTTTATTGGTGTGTTGAAATGAGAGTTAAAGCTCTCCTTTTATAGCCAAAACCTCACTCTCTAAAGCCTACAATATTTGATAATTTGCACACCCGTTTCACAATTTCAACAAGGTTGGCTACCAAACCAAACCAACTCAATAAAATTGGCTACCAAATCATACCAATTCAACAAGGTTGGCTACCAAACCAAACAAAGTCAACAAAATTGGTGACCAAATCATTTGAAGGAGATGGACACCATATCGCATATGAGCTTTAATATACAAAATGTGAGATTGATTTATGTTGAGGCAATCCAGTTCTTTAGGAAAATAACAGGATACCTTAAAAAGGAACACATATTAAAGCCACCATAGAACTAGCGAAAGTGAAAATGTTGAGTGCAGACCTGTTATAGATTGCGATTTTAGTGAATTTTTGCATATAAACTTATACTCTGCATTAAAAATATCGGTGTAAGTTTAATGAAACCGGTGCTACAAGACTGCATCCGCTTCTTGCGATAGGTGGCCGGCAATGTGATGTTCAAAAGCAATGCCAATGCTAAAATAAGCAGACTGTTAGAGGCTTCCTACTTTTACAGAATGGGAACCATTTGCCAGTGGCGGAGGCAAAATTTCTGTTAAGGGGTTCAAAGAAGAAAAAAGTGAAAGTTAAAATAAATTGCAGCCAATGAGAATTGAACGAGTGACCTCATAAATGTTTTGAACATTCATGTGATCCTTTATTAGAAAGACAGGAGACTAATGATGATAGTGGCAAAAGAGAGATTGTTGCCACATGAATTTGAATTGTCCCTCTTTCTCCAATCACTTCCTGTGCAACATATTGGTAGTTTTAGCGCAACCTTAATCCCTCTAATTGTGGTAGTTTTCAGGATATCTATGAATGTCTATATGTCTGTGTTTGTATACATCAATAATTGCATTGGAAATTTGTTGAACAAAACAAGTATAAATTTCTAAATACTAGTGTCTGATATTTAATTCCATAAGATGGCTCATCCAATAGCAAAGTGTTCGAATACATTGTTTTTTTATTCCATAAGCATGCCATTTTCTGGAAATACGTCCTCTTTTTCGTTTTGGCTATCGTTACTAGTTCTTGGATGGCTCAAGCAGGTGATCCAGATATCTTGACCGACTTCATTGTTTCTGAAAATCAAACTGGAGATACAATAGATGGGAATTTCTTCACCTTCACAGGCACGCGCGGAATTTTTGATAGTGTTATTACGTGCTTTAAGTTGACAAAAGCTAGCAAAGCGAAATTTCCAGATTTGGATGGACCGCGTACTTCACTTACTGTCCTTCTGTTCCCTGGCAAGGGTGTCAACCCGCCCCACAATAACCCTCGTGCATCCGAGCTATTATTAGTAGTGTAGGGCAGTCTAGAAGTTGGATTATTAAGTAGCCAAGTTTTCAAGAGCCACACTCACATCCGAGCTTTGATCCATACTGGCAAAATATTGCTCATATATAAGCTTTTTTTTCACTTTGTGTTTTGGTTACTTCTCTTTGCTTGTTTGTTAATTCTTCTTGTTTTCTTTTGGAAATTGCGTTGAGCAGTGTGGAGCACCTATTTCCACAGTGAGGCAAAGCCTCTTCAGATCGAGGTGATTGTTAGATGACACATAGGTGATATGTTACTACTAAATTAATCTTTGTACTTGCTTCGAGTCGTTGTAAAAGAAACCTTGTATAGGTAGGAATTTATAATTTGCTTTAGAAGTTGATAGCATGACATAATGCTGATGTACTACAAATCCTCTCTACTGCTAGCTTGATGTTTTGTTTCCAGTGGACATGTGTTATTTTCTGCTTGTCATTAAACGCTAGCTCTGTTCTGAAGTTCCATATAGATGTTATATTTCAAATACACACACACATATATACATACAAAAAATCGCGGACAACTATCCAAATTATCTAGGAAATAAGTAAACTTCCATTGTCAGTTGTTGGCAGCAATACCACTTCCAATATAATCTTAGTTAGATTGCTTGTTTCATAAATGTAAATGTAATTTGCCTACATTATATAGCAAAAGGCGTGAGTCAGTTTTCAACATTCATGTGATCCTTTATTTGACTGACTAATATAAATTTTTACATATAAATCTTTACTCCGCGCTGAAAGTTATGGGTTCGAAATTGAATTTGACTGACTAATATGAATTTATGCCTTGTTCGAAATTCACATGCTCGACTAATTTGGATTCACGCTATAAAAAGTCTCATATTAAAGTTTTAAAGTTCCCTAGCAAAGAGGACTTCATTTCAAGACTCGAACCTAACACATATCCTGCAGAAATTGATCATTTTAGGCTCTTTTATTTTTCAATCCCCCACTGTCCCTTTTCACTTGTCTCAATTATTCAATGAATAGTTAAGAGACCAGTCTCCATTATGAAGTCTTTGTCTTTGTCTTCTAAGAAGCACATGTAACTTTTGCTAAATCACGCACACAGCTAGCATACACTCTGAGCATTCTTCTAGTAGTCTTTATATACTAGTGTATTTATACTCAGTTCATTCAAATTTTCAACAACAACAACAACACCCCAGTATAATCCCACTTAGTGGGGTCTGGGGAGGGTAGCGTGTACGCAGACCTTACCCCTGCCTTGGGGTAGAGAGGCTATTTCCAAATAGACCCCCGGCATCCTTCCCTCCAAGAACTTCCCACCTTGCTCTTGGGGAGACTCGAACTCACGACCTCTTGGTTGCTTACCATCATTCAAATTTTCACAGTTTCTAAAATATTTTCATGATGTGGTAGGCCCAATTATCACTTCCCTAGCGAGGGTGTCAACACGCCCCACACTCACCCTCGTGCATCCGAGCTATTATTATTAGTAGTGCAGGGCAGTCTAGAAGTTGGATTGTTAGATAGTAGTAACAAGTTCTATACTTAGACTCTACAAATTTGTGTTTCCTAAAGGACTAGTGCATTATCAGTACTATACTGACTGGAATAAATCAGCTTCAGCTGTTTCTGCATTTGGTGACGCAAATGTAGGAACCATTTCACATCCAGCAGCTCTGTTTGCTACTTGTGTCGATGATCAGATTCTCGCTAAGTCATTCAAGACTGATCATAACTGAACCATTGTAGCATTTGGACTGGTGTTTATAGGAAAAAAAAAAAAAACAAGACACCTTAAAAAATAACAAGCATTAAAGTCACCATACAACTAGACAAAATGAATGACTATTATTTCATTTTTCTGTTTGGCAAGGAAAGTGTGTTAACATAGTTAAAAATTATAAAGGTGTGGACATAGGGCTCCTGAGAGAAGACTATCAAATACCATATAAGGATATCACACAACACATTCCCCTCAGCAAATGTGGCACTGAACACTCGCTGGCACGCATAGATGGTTATAATCTCACATTTTCACTCTTCATTTTACTACCGACGAGAGGTCTTCAGTGCCTCACATCGCTTCGATGTCTATGGATCAGAGACCTCTCCTTATTTTTGGTTACTTCTATTGGCTTGTTTGTTAACTCTTTTCCTCTGTTAAAAGTCTTGTTGAGCAGTGTGTAGTGTGTCCATTGCCACAATGAAGCCGAGGAATCATCTTGAGGTCGAGATGAATTTAATGTTAGACAACATCAAGAAAAGGTGCTAAAATCCTTATATTTGCGTTGAAACATTGTAAAAAAAATCTGGTATATGCAGGACTTGAGATAATTTTCTCAAAAAAGCTGATAGCTCATGTAATGGCCAATATGCTTACATTGGCTAAAATCCTTTTTCAGGATTTTTGGTAACAATATGCAATCTATTACGGATCTTATAGCTGAGTGTAACGTTATGCTTACATTGCTCCGAGTAATTAACATTCTTTTGCTCTACCAAATTCCAAAATATCATACCAAATCAGGACGATACAAAGTCGTTTCCACATGGAATGTTTTTTTTCCAGTTTTTAGCTGAAGTTTGCGCTCTCTATTAATTGTAGTATTCAATATCTGGAACTCAGTCCTTTGCGGAAGCAAAAGAGAGATTGAAACAGAGGGGTTATTTATTTTTAAATATTTTATTATCTTTTTTATAGGCAACAATTATACAATTTATCATCCCTTAGATCTGTTGGCAGTGCGGATAGTTGAAAGGATATTAACTTTGCAATTTTCTGAGGTAGACAAACATAAATCAGAAAACACTAGTTAAGAACTTTGCCATTTTTAACAAGTTTACATTTTTTTTCCGTTAAATAGTCATTTGCGAACAGTTATCTACTATTACTAGGGAGATTAAAACAAAATGCCTAAACAAAATATCAACTGCAAATAACCTTTTATTATTTATTGAAGGAAAAGTAAGCATACAATAAGACTTTTGAGAATAACAATCTCCTCAATCATATCCATTCCCATATTTGTATCTTTACACGCAAGGATTCCCAACAACTATCTAAAAACTGATAATAAGCATGTCTCCATGATCTCTTGAAAAGCAAACAAGAACATACTCCCCAAAAGCTAAGACCAAATCCTATTGACATTGCAATGTAGAACCAATCTAGTTCATCTTCATCACTCTCATCTTTTTCAATATCAACATCAGGAATTTGACCACCTGAACTGCAGTTCACCAAGAGTGGAAGCCCGCAAAGCTCATTTCCCTGGAAACTCGAGTAAGTAAAGCTTTGAAGTTGAGTGCCCACAGGTATCTTTCCTGACAAATTGTTATAAGATAGATTCAGGAAGCTCAAAGTTGACAAACTCGAAATGCTTTGCGGGATTTGACCAGAAAGTTGATTTTTTGAAAGATCAATGGATTCAAGCACTTTCATGTCACCAATGCCATTTGGGATCATACCTGTCAGATGGTTTTTTGAGAAATTACAGAATCTCAATCTTACAAGACTGGTAAAACTTATAGGAATATCTCCACAGAGATTATTGTTAGACATATCCATGCTGGTAACCAATGCCAATGTTTTATCATATTGGTAGTTATTGCCTTTAGTTGTCACCATTGCTTTTTCTCTAAAACTTGGTCCAACTACATCTAGAAAATACTCAAGATCAAGTTTCCCCAACTTCTTTTTGGCGATCATTGCTGTTAAATTGCTAATACACCTTGGTATGGTTCCAACGAAACTATTGTTTGCAAGGTCTAAGATTTGAAGACCTTTGAGGTAACAAATTTCTAGAGGCAATTCACCATAGAATCTGTTTGAGCTAAGGCTAAGAATTATCAATTTTGAAAGCCTCATTCCTAACCATGGTGGTAGTTGTCCAACGAATTCGTTCTCAGCTAAATCAATTTTCAGCAACTTTGTACAGTTTGCTAATGACGAAGGTAATGGACCAGTAAGTCTATTTCTTCGGAAGTCCAAAGATAACAAATTACTTAAAACCTCCATGGATCTTGGTATTCCTCCAATCAAGTTATTGTCCCCCAAGTTTAAAACTATCAACTCTGGCCAATTCATCCAACAATCAGGAATTTCTCCTGACAAATCATTTCCCTCGAGTTTTAAGATATTCAATTCATAGGATCTGTTCTTATTTGTTTCGCACAATAAGTGAGATAAACCTCCTGAAAAAGAATTGTTCGAGAGGTCTAGCCCATTTAAATCGGGTGGAACCTGAGGTAGCGGACCATAGAAATTGTTGGAACCCAATAACATTAACAAAATATAAGGTGTTGAAATGATTGGAACCTCACCAATAAATTGGTTATGAGAAAGATCGAGAATCCGAAACTGGGAAGATAAGTTCCAAAACCAAGTTGGAACCTCCCCAACAAACTGGTTGTGAGAAAGATCGAGAAACTGAAATTGGGAAGATAATTTCCAAAACCAAGTTGGAACCTCACCTTGTATTCCACCATTTGATATGTCCACACTAATTATATTCTTTTGAGTCTGGAGCCACATGGGAAATAGAGGACCTATATTCCAGCTGCCTATTAAAATACGATAGGCTTGGAAAGGTGGAATCCACTTTTGACTAACTTTTAAAGTCAGATTATTGTTAGATGCAAAGAAGTGCCTTAATTGTGTCCAGTTGGTGAAATGGCTTTCTGTTACAACACCTTCCAACGTATTATTAGAGATGTCAAATTCATCTAGAATTGTGAGTTGGCTAAGACTCTCTGGGAGAGTTCCAGTCAGTTTATTGTCTCTTAGATACAATCTCGTCAAAGAAGAACTATTTCTCAATCCTGCGGGAAGGAAATTACTCCTACTGTTGAACAATTCAAATAGTTCTCCCTCGAATAGATTTCCTGAGAGATCAAGCGAACCTAATTTCGATAACTTTCCTATTACATTTGGTAATTTTCCAGAAAGCATATTTCCAGAAAGGTCAATGCTAGTTATTGAGCTCAAATTTGAAATCGCATTTGAAACTACTCCCTCAATATTGTTTCCTTGAAGACTAAGTGATTCCAAATCTTTGCATCGATATGACCAATTCGGGATAGTGGAGTTGAGGTTGTTGAATGAAAGATCAAGATATTTATGTTTTGTTACGTTTGCGGCCTCACTCGGCATCGCACCTTCTATACCACTAGAACCAAGCTCAAGAGTTTCAAGATTATTAAGATCAAACAACCATCTGGGTAAAAGACAATTGAAAGAGTTGCCACTTGCCCTGAAGCTCGTGAGAGAAGTAAAGTTAACAGGACCTTCGGGAAAAGGGCCAATAAAATTACTATAACTCAAATCAAGAGAAACAAGACTAGGGAGATCGAAAACCCATTTGGGAATAGAAGATCTAAAGTTATTCCTAGAAAGGTCGAGTGTTTCAAATGAAGAAAAATTATGATGAAGTAGAGGTGGTATATGATGAAGACTACAATCAATTAAACGAAGCTCAACAAGAGAAGGAAGCATGTTAATGACCTGTAGCCAGTTAGTTGCATTGCTGAGATCCACACCCTCCATCTCCAAGTTCTCAAGATTTGAAAGACTTGGAAGCCACCCAAGGTTATTGCTTAGAAGATTTGGTCCATCACCGCCTATGTGTAGTTCAATCACATGACGAGTCAGATTGTGACACACAACCCCTTCCCATTCACAACAATCTTTCCCAACAATCCAAGAGGAGAGAAAATTTGTGGGATCATATACTTCTTTCTTCAGACTCTCTAATGCTTGTTGCTCATTTTCTCTGCAAATGTCAATACAAACACTAAACTTGGTGTTTGTCGAAATGAAAAACAAGAAAAAACAGAATGTTATTGCTAACACCTTCATGATGTGCAAAGGTTTAGGCTAGGAACTGAAAAATATGTATTAAATAACTGTTTGCTTGTAGATTGTTATTAGGCCAGGCATACATATATATGGCATTTAGAACTATAGTTGAAGAATATATTGTCTAGAAAGATATTGACCGTAAAATTCGAAGACTTGTTGATTTTAAATTAATTTCACTACTAGAAATCCGGAAAAAAGCGACCAAAATTGGTCTGTGGGAAAAAGCGACCAAAGTTGGTCGCTAAACTAGCGAAAATAATAAAATAAATAAAAGAAACAAAATAACGACCAACCTTGGTCGCTACTTGGTTGCTATATTAGTCAAAATGTTGACTGGACTGGTCAAACTTTCTTGGTCAAACATTTACTGAGATTAGTGACCAATGTTGGTCGCTAAAGTGGGACCCACCTACAAATTTTTAATAATTATATTATTATTTTAAAAAAAATATAAAATATAAATATATATAATATAAAAATGGCGACCAACGTTGGTCGCTACTTAAAGGGTAGGCAGATACCGACCAACTTTGGTCGCTTAAATGGGGCCCAGTTATACAATTTTAATAATTATATTATTAATTTAAATATTATATGAAATATAATTAAATCTGATTTAAATATAGCGACCAACTTTGGTCGCTAAACTAAATTCTTGAATAAATAGCGATCAAGGTTGGTCTCTATTCAGGTCAACAATGGTCAAAATTAAAAATCACTTTTGTATTTACTATCTAAANTATATACTTGCGCCACACTATGCACTGCGTATAAGTGTATTAGGTAATACTGTATCGAATATAACTTATATATATATATATATATATACTTACGCTATACTATGCACTGAGTATAAGTGTATTAGGTAGTACTGTATGAGTATAAGTGTATTAGGTAGTACTGTATCGAATATAGCTTATATATATATATATATAATATATATACTTACGCTATACTATGCACTAAGTATAAGTGTATTAGGTAATACTGTATCGAATATAGCTTATATATATATAATATATATATATATATATATATACTTGCGCCACACTATGCACTGCGTATAAGTGTATTAGGTAATACTGTATCGAATATAACTTATATATATATATATATATATACTTACGCTATACTATGCACTGAGTATAAGTGTATTAGGTAGTACTGTATGAGTATAAGTGTATTAGGTAGTACTGTATCGAATATAGCTTATATATATATATATATATATACTTACGCTATACTATGCACTAAGTATAAGTGTATTAGGTA